TTTTTTATTTATAAATGATGTTAAAATGAGTTAAATACATTTGGTTTATTTTGTCAATTAAAATTAAATATTTTGATTGTTTGTAAAAATTAACTTTTAATCAAGTTATTTTTCAATATAAAAGTCATTAAACTGAAGAATAATAAAACAAAATAATAACAATACATAACATTAAAAGGAATAATAATAATAATAATAATAATAAAGAAAAGAAGAACAAATAGTTATTAAAAAATAAATGAAATGAAATAAAATCAATTTAAAAATTTAGAAAGGAAGAATTTAAAAAAAAAAGAAAAATAAAATAAAACCCATAAGTTAATTAGAGTTGTTCAATTCTTATAGTAGCATCAAGAATTGTAGCTATACTCCATGCTTGTGAATCACATGAAGCAAAACATTTTGCACCATTATAATTTGTTAATTCAGGAAGACTTAACCATTTGTCATGAATGATATAATTATAATGATTAGATAATAAAGATCTACAATATCTTTGTAAATCATCTTTATTTAAATTATCAGGGTTATAAATTAATATTGCCATAACATAATAACCGTAAGGCCAAATCCATTCAGGACCATTATGATAATTTAAACCATTTGCTGTTGAATAATCATCAGTATCAATATTATAATAATCAGGTTTATAATTCCAATCAGTAGGATCAAGAGTTTTCATTCCAAGAGGACCTAATAAATATTTTCTTACAATTTTTAAAGCATCTTTAACTTTATCAAGATGATCAATGAATAAATTTGGAGCTTCAACTAATGTAATTAAAAAATTAGGTCTTAATTGATAATCAGGCCATTTCTTTTTACTTCCATAAACATCTTTATAAATTCCTCTCTTATTAACTATAGTAGTATCAATACAATATTCTTTATCTTGATTAAATTCTTTTGGAATATAAAAATATTTATGAAAATTATGATATAATAAATTTTCCCAATTTTGATATGAATAATCACCATACATTTTTACTTTAACACAATCATAAGGGAATACTTTAGATGTATTAATCCAATGTAATACTTTCATTAATAATCCTTCAATTTCAACATCTGCACCATCTCTAGAACTTCCTGGATGTCCCATATTACCTCCACGTTGACTACTTCCCATTTTATCCATCCAAGTTCCACAATTCCATTCATTTCCACCTTTAATAATACCTGTAGATAAATCTGTTTCAATATCAATATTAAAACCTTCACTTGTCATTACTGAATCAATTTGTGGTCCTGCATTATATTCTCTAAAATGAATTCCATTTGCATGTTCTTCTAAAATTTCTTGCATACATTCAGCAACAGTCATTACTTTTTTTTTATTTTTATTAATTCTTGTAATTCCTTCATGACTTGAATCTAATCTATAAATTGTTTCTTTTAAAATTTCTATTCCTTTTGGTACCATTGTACAATAATCTACAATAGAACTCATACAAAACCATGTTGCATCTCTAGAATTATATCTTGAATGATTTCCTCCATCAAGTAAATTAGGAATAAGTCCATGTCTCATAGCACATAAATATCCTCTAATAATATTTTTTGCTTCATTAAATCTTTTTGTATGAAGTAATAATCCTCTTAATGATATAAATGTATCTCTTCCCCAATTTCTCATATAACCAGTATTAAAATGTGGAAATCCTGCACATAATGATTCTTTTTCAATATGAATATATTCTGGAATTAATCCTTCATTAATAAGTGGTGTTCCTTTACAATTTAAATAAAATTGAAGTGCTGTTTTTCTTAATTGTCCTTCAAATGTTCCTTGAACAATAAAATTATATATTTTTTTAATAAATGCTGTAAAATATGTTGGAATTAAAAATTTTGGATAATCTTTTATTTCTTCTAATTCTTTTTTAATATATTCTCCTAATTTATTTTTTTTCATATTTTGTGTTAAATATGGTATAAGATGTTCTAATATTCCTTCTCTTAATTTTTGATAAATTGGTTCTGAAAGATTATTACTTAATAATGGTATTATTCCTCCTATTCCAATAAAATTTAAATATTTTCCTTCTGTTATTTCAAATTTATTAACTCCCATTTCTTCTGGTGATTCAAATAAAATTTCATTTATTTCATTTGATGTTAATTGAACTTTTGGAATTTCCCAATTTTTTTTTAATGTTTTTATTAATTTTAATTCAAAACAAATAACACTTCCTGTTGGAAATTTTTTAAATTTTATTTCAACTCCATTATTATTATTTTTAATTTCAACAAAATTTTTAATATTATTATAATCTTTTGTAATATCACAAATACATTGATATCCATTAATTTCTTTTTCTTTATTTTCAATATTATTTAATATTCCTGTAGTTAATGATCCAAAAAATATAAATTTATCTATTTGATAATTTGGAATATTATATTCTTTTATATTTGGATTTGTTGAATAATTTCCTTTAAATGATGTATGAACATACATTACAATACTTTTATTTGTTTTAGGATTTCTTCTTGTTAATGAAATTATATTTTCTTTATTTTCACAATAAAATTCTTTATATCCTTCATTTCCCATATATTCATGTAATTCATTCATTATTTTTTTTCCTTCTGAAATTCCTATTGTATTTTCTATTTCCCAATTATATATTTTATATTTTCTTTCTTCTTTTACACAATCAATTCTATATGGAACTAATTCATCATATCCTCTTGTACTTCCTATACATCCTATTGTCATACAAACAACTCCTGCTGTTGAAAGTGCTTCATTATTATTTCTATTTCCTTCTTTTGGTTCATTATCATGTGTTAAATCATATGTCCATCCATCTATTCTTTGAATTTCTGCTTCTAATTCTTCATAAAGACTTTCTTCTAAAATACCTCCTACTGGTTTAAACCATCCACTTTGATATGCAATTTCTTTTAATTCTTCTGGATTTTTTCCTCTTTGTCCTTCTATAACTAATCCTTGTATTCCACATTTAATAACATATTCCATTATTGCTTCTTGATTATCTGAAAATAATTCTGCAAGAACAATTAATTCTGGATTAACTTCTCTTGATTTTTCTATTATAAATTCTAATGCTTCTAATGGAACACTATGACAATTATCAAGTCTAAATCCATTAAATATTTTTGCATTAGATATTCCATATTCTACCATATAATCCCAAAGAAATTTATTTTCTTCATATTTTTTTCCATAATTTAATTTTAATGAATCTTCCCATACAATAGCTTCTCTTCTAATATATACTTTTGATTTATTATCTCCAACAAAATCAAAAAATGGATCTCCTCCAAATACCCATCCATGATGTGCTGCAACTATATGAACTTTTTCTCCTTTACTATTTATTCCATCTATTACTTCAAAATAATATGGTAAAATATGTTCTTCTTCACTTACTTTTTCTATTTTTGGTCCTTTTTCATCAAAACATTTATACATAATTGTATTAATACAATTTTCAATTGCTGTATTTATATCTTCATCATATTTTTTATAATTATCTACATTTATTATATCTATTGCTTTTATAAATCCTTCTATATTAGGAACTACTTCAAATCCTTTTTCAATATTAATTCTAATATGATTCTTTTCATAACTTCCATCTGTCATTATATATTTTTCTAATCTTTTAGCTAATTCTTCTGCATTTCCTTCTTTTCCTCTTTTTGCTTCTTTATGTTCTTTTTCATATTTTAAATATTCTTCTTTATGTTTATTTACATTAATAACATAATATAACCAAAATTCTCCTGGAATAATATATTTTTCTTTAAAATATTTCATAAATTTATAAACATCTTCTTTTCTTTGAAAAATACCTATTCCATTTGGATATTTATCTTTAATAATATCTTTAATACATTGATGAATTAATGAATCAAATTTATATCCTATTTTTAAATGTGGATAATTTTCAATAGTATAACAAATTTCTGGATGTTCTATTACTATTGGTGATTTTGATGAAATATGACTTAATACAATATCAATTATACTTCCTATTTGATATTTATTTCTTAATTGATAAATACTTTCTTTAATTTTTTGATATTTTTCTTCTTTACTTATTTCTTCTTCTTCAAATATTTCTTTTTCTATATCTAAATGTTCACTAATAGAATATGCTGATCCACTTGGTCCTATTTTTTGAATTGGTGTTAAATGAATACAATTATATCCACATTTTTTCATTGTTTTATAATGTTCTTCCCATTTATCAATTTTTCCCATTATTTTAACAATATGTGTTTGAATTGTTAATCCATTTATTTTAATGTTTTTATTTCCAATTTTAATTTGAGGATAAACATTAAAATAAATAGTTTTAATATTATTATTTTTTTCTTTCTTTTTTTTAATTCTTATTTTAAATACTCCTGATTTTTTAATTAAAATTATACTTTCAAATTGATATATTCCTTCTTTTGATTCACTATCTTTATTATTTTTTTATTATTCTTTATATATATATATTAATTTAAATTTACAAACCTTTCTAATTTATAAAATTTATTTCCTTGAAATTTTTCTTCATTACTATAATTTGTTTCAACTTCAATCTCATCTGGATATGTTCCATATGGTACAATTATTTTTAATTTTGTCCCTATTTCAATTTTATATCCTAAATATTTTTCAGAACAATTAATATATCTGATTGTTGTCATAGATAATTCTTAATTTCTTAGATGAATTTCTATAAGATAATTATTCTCTTTTTTTTTGTTTTTTTAATATTTCCTTAGTTTAATTATAATTCTATTCTAGGTTTTATCCTTTCATTATTTCAATCACTAATCAGTGATAATTAAAAGGTCTTTGAATCAAATTTCAAGTATTTTTCAAATAACATAAAAAAATCTTTCTTTAATTGTGATTTTAAAATAAGTTGATTATTGAATTATTTAATTGTTATTATCAATACATTATTGTTTTAAATTTTTATAACAAAATAATTTGAAATAATTAAATTTAAAAGAATAAAATAAATTTTATGTTATTATTATTTAAATAATAAATTTGAATAATATGAAAAAAATTAAGTAAAATTAATTGACAAGATTATTAAGAATATCCAATAATTGAAGAATATCTATTTTTTTACCACGATAAAGATTTGGAGGAGGAAGGATGTAAATCAATTCTTTAAGAATATCTTTATTGAGTTCAGGTTTGATTGGTTTCCAATTGAAATGAGAAAGAGAAGAATCATCAGAGATTTGATGATCATCAAAAGATTCACCAATAGAATTTATTAAACGATGAGAGATAAGGAAAAGATTAGTATCTTTTGGTTTAGGAAGATGATTAAATTTAAGAAGAATAGCATTTTTCATATAAAGATCTAAATCAAAATCACCATAAGATTTTAAAGCATTTGGGATAAAACGAGAAGGAGTAATTAAATTAAGGAAACGATAATAAGCTTTAATAATAGGAAGACTATTAGGATAACGTTTTAAAGCAAGTTGAAAGAGTTTTAAAGAAGCAGTTTTTCTTCCAAAGATAAAATATTCAATTTCAGTAGCAACAATAAAAGCATAAGGTTTTAAATTAGATTGAATATCAATAAAAAATTTTCTAAAATCATTAATTTTATAAGCTTTAGCAGCAATTTTTAATTTAAAAATTTGTTCTAATTCAGATTGATTATTTAATAAAGAAAGTGCTTTTTCAATATTTCCTTGAATCATTAAACAAAATGATTGATATAATTTTAATAATGGACAATTAACAGCAGCTCTTCCTCTTTCAAGAAAATTTATTGCTAATTCAATATTTCCTCTTCTTTGAAAATATTGTGCACATATTATCCATGCTTGAGGATATCTATAAAATGTTAATAACATTTTATTCATTGTATAATAAATTCTTTCTTGTTTTGCTTTCATTTGAATAGAATGTGGACAATTTTCATATTGTTTATCTGTACCATTTATTGTATATTTTCCATCTTCATATCTTGGTTGTCCTTCTATCATACTTTCATAATTTATTGTTTCAATATATGTTAAAAGTAAACTTTTACTTCTTATACTTTTTGATTTTGTACAATAATTAATATGATCACTTTTTTTTTGTTGTTCAATTCTATTATAATATGTTGTTAATCTCATTTGACTTGTTTTTGTTGTTTCAAATATTTGATGTTCAATTTTCTTTTCTTCTTCATCAAGTTTTTCTTCATATTCTAAATACATTTCTTGTCGTTCATTCATTGGTATTCTTGTTAAATTATGCATTATTATTTTCATTGTAACTTCATTACTTCTACTTTTTGATAAAAATTCTATAAATTCTCGATATATTGTTATTGCATTTAAATCAAGTCCAACTATTTTGATTGCATATGAATATGCTCCTTCTTGAATTTTCTTAAATCTTGCTAATTCAATATCATCAATATCTTCCCTTTCTGTATCATCATAACATGTATTAATATATTTAATATATCTTTTTGCTATCTCTACATCTGGTACTTGAACTAAACATTTTCTGAATATTTCTTCTATTTCTCTCTCATTATGTCCATATTTCATTTCTAAATCAATATATTCACACCATCTATTCACTGCTGTTGGATATTCTTCTAAATATCTTTTATATAATTCTCTCCCTTGTTTAATTTGTTCTTCATCACTAAAAAATGGTAATGCACTAAATTTACTTTCCCATGCTTCTTCATTTGGTGTACTTTGCATTCTTTTCTTCTTATATTTCTTCTTTCTTTTTAGTTTTCTTTATTTTATTTTATTTTATTTTTTTTTTAAAAAATAAAGAATAAATAATAAACTAAGAAAATAAATTAATATTTAATGGCAGAAGAAGAACAATGTAATCAATTTAAAAAATATCAAGATTATTTTGAAAAACAAAGTGATCTTATGAAAAAATATGATGAAACATTATTTGATAGATGGCTTCATGGAGAAAAAGGTGTTATTGATCAACCACCACAACATCAAGGAGAAAGAAGATGTATTGATTTTAATTGTTGTCATTCAGAAATGGATTCAACATATTCTATGTATTGTCAAACAAGTAGAATTAATTATTGTCATCAACATTATTCATATACTAGATATCTTCAACCACCAATATTATGTACTTCAAATCCAGGAATTAATATAACTACAAAATTTGTACATACATCAATTAATAAAAATAAAACACCAGTTTATTGTATGAGATGGACTCCTGATGGAAGAAGAATTGTTACTGGGAATGAAAAAGGAGAATTTACATTTTGGAATGGTCTTCAATTTAATTTTGCATGTTTAAGTGGAGCACATGATACAGCTGTAAGATGTATGACATGGAGTCATAGTGGAGGACATATGGTAAGTGGAGAACAAGGAAGTAATGGAAGTAGTAGTATTATTTATTGGAATCCATCACTTGCACCTGTTGTTACTCTTAAAACAGCACATAGTGAACTTATTAGAGAAGTAAGTTTTTCACCTAATGATCTTAGATTTGCAAGTTGTAGTGATGATAAAACAATTGGAATTTGGGATTTTAATAAACAAATTTGTGAAATTAGATTTGATGAAAGTGAAAATGCAGTTTATTCTGTTGATTGGCATCCAACAGAATCTCTTTTACTTAGTAGTTCTAAAGGAAAAGTAAGAATATGGGATCCAAGATTAAAAGAAAAAGTAGGTATGTTTTCTCCTCATAAAACTGAAATTAATAAAGTTAGATGGAATAAAAATGGAAAATGGTTTTTAACTTGTTCTAAAGATTTTAAAATAATTTTACATGATATTCGTATGTTTAATAAACCATTAATGATTTTTGAAAAACATATGAAAGATGTTACAATTGTTAATTGGCATCCAATTCAAGAAGATTTCTTTGTTTCTGGTGGTGCAAATGGTGTTATTTATTTTTGGGATACTGAACATTCTAAACCTATTGGTGAAATTCCTGTTGCTCATGATGGTGCAATTTGGGATTTACAATGGCATCCTGTTGGTCATTTATTAGCTTCTTGTGCTCATGATCAAACTACTAAATTTTGGAGTAGAGATAGATGTGGAGATTCTTTAGAAATTAAAAAATATCAAGGAACAAATAGAGATTATGATCCAATCATTCCTATGTATGATGATGATCTTGAACAACCTTATCTTGCTCCTATATTTATTCCAAATCAAATTAATCCTTCTCGTATTAATGGTTTTCATGATATTTAATTAATTTCTTTGTTTGTTTTTATTGAAATATTTATTTTACTTTTTACTATATCTTTTTTCTTTATTTTTATTTTTATTTTTTTTTAATTTATTTTAATTTAAATTTTATATTATTTCTTTATTTATTTTCTTTATTTGAAATAAAATATAATCTAATGAATTAGATTATATGTATTTGATATTAGACTCTTAAAAAAATTGATTTTAGTATTATTGATTATTATCTTTTTATCTTATTTAATAAATTTATTCATAACTTCATCTTAAAATAATGTAATTATTTTGAATTATGGTTGATTCATTAAATTATTATGACTTTCTTGGAATTTCTAAAGATGCCACAAATTATGAAATTAGAAAAGCATACAAAACCAAAGTACTTCATATCCATCCAGACAAAATTAAAGACCCTCAACCAAGTGACTTTGACAAATTTCATAAACTTCAATTAATCAAAGACACATTACTTGACACTGAAACAAGAAATTTGTACGACAAAATGATTGCTAGTCAATTAACCACAAGAAAACTAATCGAAGAAATGGAAACAAATAGAAAAAAGATGATTGATGAACTTCTCCAACAAGAAAAACAATATCATGAATCACAAAAAATAAAAGAGTTGTTTGAAAAACATAATAAACAAATTGAAGGTGATAGATTTGCAAAATTAATCAAAAAATGGTATTTTCATCGACAAAACAAAGCACCATCATCTATTAAACGATCTATTAGAATTTTTTGGAGTAATAAAGTACCAAAAGGATATTTTAACAAAGAATTCATCAGACAGAAGTGCTTGACGTTTGGAGATGTTGTTGGTGTTTCTCTTAAAGACCAAATGTGTTTTGTTTTATTTAAAAATGATGATACAATAACCAAAATTGAAATGAAAAGTGAACATGGGAATGTGTTTAATGATGAATTGAAAGACTCTAATATCGAAATTTTAAAAAATACATATCTTCATTCTTCAATCTCATTAAACGATTTCACACACTACGAACAACAAATATTACAAAAGGCTTATATCAAACTAAAAGAAACTAACCCAAACTTAACTAGTCCTTCTATTCATACTAACCAAAATACTTTTATAATTGATTAATATCTAATATAACTTATTTATCTTATTATTACTATTCACTTTCTTTTCTCTACTCTCTCTCTCAATTGTATCGATTCCATATTCACAAACTTTTATAATTTACTCTTTATCATTAATTTTATCATCTTTCTTTTCTCTTATTGAAATTATTCTTCTTTCAAAAATTTTACCTTCTTGTTTTTCTTTTTTATTTTTGTTTTATATAACGCAATTATTCTTTCTTCTTAATAATTTTTATTTATTATGATCTTGTAAATGTTTCATAATCTATAAATAAATTTATGAATTAAAAAAATCTATTAAATCAAGTTTTCAAGAAGATTAGAAAATAAGAAAAGTGAGAAAGAAGAAGATTTAAAAAAGAATAAACAATGACAAAAATCTAACTCAATCACTTTTACTTCTAGCACAATCAGCAGCTCCAATAATTAAATCAATTTGACCAAGAAGTTGTTGCATATTTTTATTTAGCTGAATTTCTTTTTCGAGTCTTTTTTGCATTTTAAAGAACATTTCATCAAAAACAACACTTTTACCAAGATCTTGAGCGTATAAATCTAATAACTGAGACATGACCTCAACAAGAATTTTAGTATGTAATGGATTTGGAAGTGTATTTATTAAAAATGTCATTAGAGGTTCTAATGTATTTTCATCACGACGAGATAATGCAATTTTTAAACCGTTTCTATATAAAATTTCTCTTATAACAGAAATAATAATAGTTTCATCTTTTGTTGCCAATGCCTTATCAAGAGCATCATCGTAATCAAATTTTCTGATATTTACAGAAATATCGCTCTTAGTTTTATTAATTTCAGGTTCTTTTTTTTCTTCTGATGTTTGGGTTTTACCTTGGAAGAAGTATTTTGCTGATGAAGCAGAATGGTTTTCTGCTTGTTGTGGTTGTTGTTTTGCAAATAAAATAACTTCTCCATTCGTTAATCCCACAGAAAAAGCGGTAGAATCTTTATTCATGTCAAATGAAAGAATTGGTGATGGATACACAAGATTATGTAATTTACTATAATTTGTTGTTTCATAAACATTAATTGAACAGTCTAATGATGAAGAGAATAACCTATTTCCATCAGTATCAAAAAGAATATTTGTTACAAGATTTGTATGATAACTATAATCTGAAATTTGTGAACCTGTAGTAGAATCCCATACTGTTATCATTTGCCCATTAGCAACAGCAATTAAAGTACCAACTGGATGGAATACAATATCTTCTACTGGATTTTTATGTTTAAATACATTAATTGAGTTCTTTGAACGTGTATCATACAAAACAACTGTATGATCATAAGAACCAGATGCAATAAGAAATGGATTTGTTGGACATTGAACTATAGAACGAACAGAGTCTGTATGATTGGTATATGAACCAATGACTGACTTAGTAGTAAAATCCCATGCCTTAACTACCATATCATCTCCACTAGAATATAACATTTCTTTACCCCAACAAACAGTTCTTACTGCAGCAGAATGACCAGATAATGTCCTTAATAATGTTTTATTAGTTGAATCAAATACACGCACTTTACCATCTGCACATCCAGTACTAATTAAAGCCCCATCATTTCTATATTCACAGGTATAAACAAAATCTTTGTGTCGAGTAATTACTTTAGGTTGACTTTCTGTACTTGAATGAACAAACACATTCATTCCACTACATACAGCAAATGTTTGTTTTTGAGAAGGAGAAAATCTAATACATTTAGGAGAAGGGTATGTGTAAGATGAAACAGGAGTAAAGTCGTCCCAATATTTTCCCTCTAACTCATTATCTCTTTTTTCATGAGGTGCTTTAAATAATGTGAATTGAGCTCTTCTCATGAACGATTATTATCTATTTAAGAAAGGGAAAAAACCTATTAAAACCCTTTTTATTTTCACTTTATTTATATTTCTTCAAGCAAAATATTTTCTGTTATTTATTATTATTTTTTATGTTTCTATAACAAAAAAAAGTTGGAGAATTGTAAAATATTTTGTTATTAATAACGTGCAGCAGTTGAATAGATCCATGTAGCAAGACCTGGAATACCTATAAATGATTCAGACTTTGACCTTAGTACAGCCATTACAACAAAGAATAATTTGATTATAACATAAGTGAGAAGAAGAAGTAAATATACTGTTTGGAATGCATGACCAACAGCAAGACATAAAATTAAAAATGGTAACGAAACTATAAAAAATACAGCAAATAGAAAGATTGATTGAAGTGCATATGCTTTACAATATGAATTTGTTTTTTCAGTATGCAATATAACAATTCCAGTTAATGCAGAACAACTCGCTAAAAATGATTCGATAATTAATGGCATTCCAACGCTAGTACTGCCTGTTTTAGCGTCATACGATAAAACATCATCTACATCCATATCAATATATTCAGCCATTTCTCAATACAATTATTTTCAAGTTCTTTTTTTTTAAATTTATTTTATTTTTATTTTTGTTATTTAAAAAAGTGTTTTTTTAAAATTCAAAAAAATGAATCTTTTTAGAAAAATCAATTTCAAGAGATTCTATCTCTTTTAATTATTCAGTCTAATGAGTGATTCTGAAAGGCCTATTGTTAGCCAAGAAGAACAACCAAAAGAAGAAAAAGATACTATTGTAAATTTTCAAGAAAGTGATGACGATGACGAAATAATTGATATTGAACCAATTCATACAACAACCACATCAAATAATTGGAAAAAAGTCCCGTTAATAATTATTATTAAAACAGCCCTTTGGGTTAAAGAAAAAATTCAGCAAACTATTGACCTTTCTATTTATCTCTTTGTAACTCCTTCAAAAGTTATTGTTTCTTTTATGCAAAAGCCGTTAGTTAAAAAAATAACTACTGGAATCACTTCAGTGGCTTTATTTGGAGTATGTGTTTATGCTTTTGGTTATATTCCATTCCAATACGTCAAACAATCAAAGGCATTACAATTCCACTAAATTTACTTTTTTGTTTAAGAATGAAAAAGGGTTCATCTTTTTTTTTTCATTCTCTGAAAAGAAATCTAATTTTCATAATGAGTAGTAAATCATCTAGAGTAATTTCTTTTCAAACTGAAATCAGTAAAGAATCATGCAAAGAAACAAAACCTAAAAAAACAACACACCTAAAAAGTAAACAGAAAGGGGATGCTAAAAGCGATATTGATGATATTTTCAGTGAGTTGAAAGGAAAACAAAGAAAGGCTGCTGAAGAAAAACAAAAAGAAGAAGAAAAAGCTAAAAGAAGAGAAGAAAATGGTGGAAAGAAAAAAATAAGAAGAACTGAAGAAGGGTATCGTATTTACACGCTTGAAGAACTTGGACTTGACAAAAATAAATTTGGTGGAAATACACCACTATGCCCTTTTGATTGTGACTGTTGCCATTAATTGATTTTTCTTTTATGAGTTTTTAAAAAAAATAAAAGAGTGGTCATAGCTAATATAGTGTTAATAGATTATTCAAAAGTTCATGGTTTCAAACGACAACACACGACGCGTTATTCTCTTCTGGGTGAAATGAAATCCATTCTCTAACAATTATGTCAAATAAGTGATTAATATTAGTATAGTCTAAGGCTGATGTTTCCATAAATAAGCATGAGATTGAATCTGAAAATAATTGTCCTGACTCATAGACAACTTCACGTCGCTTTTCATCACATTTATTACCAACGATAATAATAGGAATTGATTTAGAATGGTCTTTCCGTAATTCGTAAATACGATTTAAATATAATGGCAAATGAAGAAATGAGTCTTTGTTTGTGACAGAGTACATGACAATAAATGCGTCTCCTTTCGTTATTAGGTCATCATTTTGAGTTGTCATTGTTGCATTTGTATCTATAACACCAATGTCATAGTCAGTTCCATCAACTGAAACCCTGGAAACTTGTATTTGTTTTGAATGTATTGAATAATCAGACATAAACACATTTGTTGCGAATCGAGTAGCTACACTACTTTTTCCAACCCCATGATCACCTAAAAGAACAACAGATATCCTTTTTGTTGTTGAACTCATAAGATAAATAAAATAAGTTCTCAGTGATATTTAATATCTAATATAACATAAAAAAACTAAATAAATTATAAAAAATGTTATTTGAATTAACCAATAATTTTTTTAATTTCCTTCGCAAACTTAGAGGGATAATCAACGGTTTCAGTAGTCATATCACTATATAATTGTTTAATTTGTTTTCTATATCTTTTTTTGATAATTTCTTTTTCCTTTAAATAGTCCCTCATTTGTTCACTTTGAATTCTTTTATTAAATCCTTCAAGCTTCTTTTGTTTTTCTCGTAATTGTTTTAGTTCACGAGCTTTTCGTTCTTTATTTTTATTCTTTATACTAATTTTTTCTGCCTTAGCAACAGCTATTTTTTTTGCTTCTGCTTCAAGTTTCTTCTTTTTTAAATCTTCAAGTGATTTTTTTGTTTGTTCCTTAATTTCTGAAGGTTTAACTGTTTTATTTGATGAGTCCATACTTTTCTTTATTTTGTTAATAGTCATTTGAATTGGGTTAATTGTTTTTGTGGTATTAACTGGAACAGTAGTAGTATTATTATTAACGGTATTATTGAAAGGAATAGTATTATTAGAAGAGGTTACATTAACTTGAGCAGGGGTAGTTGTAGGAGTAGTAATACCATTAGAAAGAACAATGATTGCAAAGAACAACAACATTATAAATTACAAGATTTCATTTTTATATTTATTTTATTTGTTTTTTTAGATTTTTATTTTTGTAAGTCAATGAATTTCTAAAACTCAATATAATTTCTATTCTTTTATGCAACAACAAGATTTCATTGAAATAGTATTTAGAGCCTATAACACAAAAACAAACGGATGTAGAAATGTAAGAATAAGAATTCCTCAAGACTATCCTATTGAGTTTGGTGCTTTAGATGATCTTAAGTATTTAGAACAAACAAAACCAAAGAGAAGAATTGATTTCTTTTCAAGACCTCCAATCTGTTTTAAAGGAACAAGCTCTACTGCACGTTTACAAACAATTGGTGAAACAACATCATTATTAATTTGTAATAAACGATTTGCACTAAATAGAAAATCGGCGTTTAGTTATGAACTGATGTTTGTTTTTTAGAATAAAATGCTTTTTAGAGGACATTAACAAGTAGAGAAAATAAAAAACAAAGTATTGTTGACTCTGTTGACAATGATAAAGAACGTGCAGCATCTCGTGTTAGAGAAGAAGTTGAAAAATACACAAAACGATTTGGTGATGAAGGACTAACTGCAAGCTTTTTAGAAGATGATGTAAATCCAAGAAACAGTGAATTAAGTATTGATGAAGGTGAAAAACGATTATTAGAAATGAAAAATGGAATGGATGATGATTGATTGGTTTTTATAACATTTTTATTAACAAAAAATAAAATTTATTAAACAGAACTTAAAAATTTTATAAAATCTACTATGTTCTCACCAACATTAGGAGAATTAAATTTAATGCAAATCGATCTAAACACTGATATCGTTCGTATGTTTAAAGTAGAGATTCAAAGAATTATTGTTCAAAGTGTTTCATTAGAAATTATATCAAATTTACAAGAGTTTCAAAGTAAGTTATGTACTCATGACCATTGTAAATGGGTAATGGAGGTTATTGGTTGTGGATTTACCCTCCCTGTTGATGACCATAAAACTATTGCTCATTGCATCTCTTTATATGAAGAGTGGTTCGTCAATTTACAAAATGTACCAACCCCCATTGAAGAAATGCAAGATCATTATGATAGAATTGCTATGACCCAACTTACTAACTTATTGTATCAAAGAAGTGGAAGTGCTGAAAGTCTTAACGGATATGCTGAACTATGTTTAAAAGCAATTTCTATTTTAAGAGCTATTGGAACAAGATATAAACCTGGAAGTGATATGTCTAGACAGTTAGTGTGTTGTTTATTAGGTTGTATGCAAGATGTTTGTGGTAAACAACATGTAAACTCACAAAATGTAATTGTTTCTTATATTGCTGAAAAATTAATTCATGCAGTTTATGAAGTTTGGCTTAATTATGGAGAAGCAGATGAAGAGTTATGGGGTGTTTTCCAAGAGTGTCATAAGGTATGGGCTAAGACAAAAGAAGTGGCATTGGCATGGGTTGATGTAACATTGCGTTTACAAAAAACTTTCTTAACGGCTGTAGAATCAAAACAAAATGATGTTAGTTTAGTAATTACAAATGAAAAAGCACAAGTAGATGCACATTATACTTTAAAATATTTCTTAAAAACATGGATTCGATTTATTCATTTATGTGGTACTCCTGCACAGTTACAAGACGCAGCAGTTGTACTAGTTATTACTGATGGTATTTCATTATTTGTAAAAAATATGATTGAGTGTTATAAAGATGGAAGATATCCAAATGCACCAGATGGAAATACTATAATTAAGTTATTTGGAGAACCACTTGCACAAGTTGTTCTTTGTCTTGACCATATAAGATATGAACTTGCAGTTAATGTTGCAGTAACTACTATAGGAACAGTGTTTGGAGTAACTACTGCAAGAACCACATTCAGACCAGAAAATCTATCAATATTATATGAAGTAATGAGTGAGGCTATATTATCAAGAAATGGAAAAATTATTTTGTCTGGTATTAGAATACTTAACCGACTTCTTTTATTATCATTCCCTTCACAAGAAATTATTTATCCTTCAATTATAAAAGCAGCTGAAAGAATTTCAAATATGGTTGACCCTGGAAGTTTAGATACAAGAACAAGTTGTATCGAATTACTTGGACTAATACATCTTTCATTCTCAAAACAACGACAAGAAATTGCTTGTCATGAAGTAGGAACGGATAATATTTTTTGTTTTAGTAATTTTTCAAAAGAGTTTTTGGCTATTTGTGAAGTATTCTTACAAACAGAAACAAATCCAGTTAATTTAAAAGATATGTTTGTGTTACTTTCTAGATTCTTCAATGATATTGTTCCAAGGGAAGGACCAACTATTGTAGAACAATTTATTCCAGTCCTTGAAAAGAACATTTATAAATTTGTTGGTGCTTTAGTAGAAAAAAGATTACACGAATCATTTACTGAAATGATGAGGGTACTAAAAACAGTATTAGTAGAAGTAGGAGAGCATAAAGTCTTATTAGATTTATTGATGATAATTCATTCATTTATTGAAACATATTATAAATCATCTCCTATTATTGATGATTTCTTACAAGTGTATTCAATTTACTTTGGTGCTTGTTATTCATTTATTCAACAAGACACATTGTTAAAAGTTATTGGATTATGTGGTCAGATATGTGCTTGGTTTAATGACCAACAAAAAAGAGCTTCATTAGAGAATTATACTTTCCCTCAGTCATTACTTTCTTCATTACAAATTGATGTTGCTGATTATTTCGAAGAAATGAATGAAGTAATTCTTATGAATGCATATAATGACCATCACATTCAAGCCTTTGATGAATTCATGAAAATATTTGTTTATAAAGATCAGGCTGTAATTACAGTTGCTGAACTTCCATGGGAGAAGGGAAGTGCTATTGTTATCATTAGAACAAAATATGGTAAGACTGCTCGTCATGTACACCTAACTCATGATGAAAACAAAAAAACAGTTATTAATGGTGTATTAACAAAGGGAAGTGATGAAATTACTAAAGAAAGTGAAATACCAGTTTCATGGATTGAAGAATTTAACACCGTTTCATTAGATAAAATAGTTACTGCTGAAAATGCATGTAATAATGTTCCTCATGTAGCTCAAAATGAGGACGTTCTCACTGCTTCTGCTCTTTACAATACCAGTCTCTGTTGCAAAGCTATTATTTCAAGAACCCTTATAGGGGCACTTGGATTAGTTGATTTATCTGGAGAAAAACTTCATCCATTAGGTTTGAGTGATGACTTGATCACTAGTTTATTGGAACTTGATGTACTTCCAACAAGAAACTTGATTGGTGTTACTATTTTATATGGTCCTGACTCATCTGCACCATCTCCAATTTATAACTCTGTTATTCGTGGGTTAGGGCATATTGTTGATCCTCAAACACATAAGGGATTTAGTGGGTTATATGCTGGAAGTGATCAAAAATTCATGTACTATTCAAATGAAGAAGCTGAAATGGTATTCCATATCAATACCCTTAGTGGATTAAATGAAGAAGAAGCTGTTGATGCAGATAACATTGTTGTATTTTGGAATTCTTCTCCATATGATACAGAAATTGAAACTATTGAAGGTAAATTTACTATTATTATTCTTCCAACTCAATCTGATGTTCTCAGAGTTATGACCAATTCCCCTTGTGGTGTTTTAGTTAAAGAACAACTTGTTTCTCCAGCATCCCTACCAGGACTTATAAGGCATGCTGCTTTGAATTATTCAAGACCAGTTTATCTTGCGCCAACAACAAATCCAATTTATAAGAGAAGTGAATACATTAGGTCATTAAATCTATTTGTTGATGTCCAAAATCCAAGGGCTGAAGTTCATTGTCTTTTGTCATCAGAAACAATGCAAAATGTCAACTCATCAAATCTTCAATTTTGTGTTGAGATTGTCAAAACTGAAAAAAAAGAACAAAGAGGTAATTTCCTTACTAGAAAAGCAACCCCAAAACCAGCAAAAGTTGAACCAACAGACGCTGACACAAAGAAGAAAGGACATTCATTCAAGCTAAGTTTATTTAGCAAGAAAAAGAAAGAAGATAAGGAGAAAGACAAAACGGATAAGAAAGAAAGAAAAGAAAAGGAACTTGAACGTTCTGCAATTAATTAAATTTCTTTTAAAATAAAAAAATAATAAAAGTAAAATTGTGAATAAAATTTTTTTGAAAGAGAAAAAAAAATAAGAAAAAAATAAATTAAACTAAAAAAAGTAATTGTAAAATAATGAGTTTATCACCTGGTCTGTCTGACATTAGATATAAACGTCGAACAGTAGCTGACGTTGAAAAGACAGCTCAGCTCAGAAAAGTTTTTAATTGTTATGATACTGAATGTGTAAGTGAATTAAATACTGAACAACTAAGAAGGTATTTTGCAAAAGAAAAAGGATTATATTTATCTCAAGAAGATATTAAGAAAATACTTTCTGAAATATTACAATATAATTTTAGATTACCATTTACAGACTTTGCACAACTCAATGACTATATTGAAACCAATAAAAACACTTTGAAAGAAGTTTGTTTAAAAGATTTTATTTTATCAAACAAAATTTTTATTAAATAAATAGAAAAGTAATGAAAGAAATCAATGTTCTGTATTATTTGAGTCACAACTTCTTGAAGATAAAGATCGAATTCCTTATTTTTCTAATATTTTAAGTCCTAAAGACATAACTTTTGTAACAAAAAAACGACCAGAACAAAGTCATTTAAAATATATTGAAGGAATTTCATCAATAGAAAATGACTCTATAGTAAAAATGTTTATAGACATATTATTTGCTGATTTAAATAATGTTATAATGAAAAAGTAATATCCGAACCTCCAAACCTTTTGATCACGTTATGTTAATTTTGATGGAGACGAAACTATTGCAAATGAAGTATCAGTTTCATTATTAAATAATGATAATTGTATTGAAGATAGAAGAACATTAAGAGAGCCATTATTTGATATGGTAAGAACTCAAACTAAATTAAATATTACACCGATTAAACCAATAACATATGATGCTATTTCATATTATTCATGTCAAATTACAGATATTCAATTTGGAGTATGTACTTCAGCAAAAGGATTTATAGAACCATTATATGGATATTTTGCTGTATATGATTATAGTGAACATGAAAAAAAATTTATAAAAATAACAGAAAGTTTTAGAGTTGATATCAATAATTCTGATGTTAGAGTTTCTGGACAATGGATTACAGCTAAAGATACACAAAGAGATGTTAACAAATTCATTCTTCCATTAGAAATAAATAAATATAGTAACCATGAATTAAAAGGGGTTTTAACAATTTATAAAAATGCAGAAGCTGATTTGTTTCAAAGAGAACTTTATTTTACAGAAAAGAAAAATATAAAACCAAGAGAAGTAAAAAAGTTTATAATGGACAATATGTATTTACAATATGTTTGTGTTGGATTTGCAGAGTTTAAATTTTCAAATGATGGGAAGTTAAGTGTTGCACCAAGATTAGGATTTTGTCAATTAAAAATGGAAAAAGAAGAAGACATAGCAACATTGTTTTCTCCATCTGTTAAATCAAAACAAATTAATGGAGAATGGAAAATGAAAATAACACAAGTTAATTTAGAAGAAATGGAAAATATAGTTGATTGGAATGATCATGGAATTTCAGAAAATGAAGTTACAGAAAATTCAACTCGTATTCTTCAACCGTTAGAAATGAGAGAAAATCATTTTTCTCACAACTTATTTATTTATCCATTAAAAGTTACATCATCCTCATTTTCATTAAAGAAAAAGTTTAATAGTGCAGTTGTTAAAATATATTTACAAGATACTCAAACAATTCCTGAATCAAAAAGTTTGGAAGTATTTTATCCTATTCTTCCGGGAAGACCTTTTGATAAAAGTTTTACAACAGCTGCACCTTATTCAAAAAATAATATTTATTTTGATGAAGCTAAATTAAAATTACCTTTAAACATTAATGATTCGCACCACTTACTATTTATTGTTGATGATGTCTTTGAAGAAGACCCAAATACTAAAGAAACTCGTTTTGGATTTCTTCCATTATTTGAACATGGTCATTTAATTCAAAATGATGTTTATAAAATTGAATTATTTAAAGGACCAATAATGGAGTCATATTTAAATGCTAAAAAATTACCTGATACAAAAAAGATGGTTTTACATGTCCGTCTTAATTTTCTTACTCAATTTATGGTTCAAGATGAAACAGTATATAAATTAATTCGTTCAGTTGACTCCAATTCTTTTAAAAGTATTAACAATGTTTTAGAATTATTCTCTCAACTTAAAAAGAATCAACCATATAAAAATCAGTTAATTCATTCTTTCCCATTACTAATGAAATTAATGTTACAATTATTTAATAATGAAATATCTAATACGGAGTCTGGAAAAAATTTAGTATTGTCAATGCTTCATTTAATGGATGCTATAGAAGATGATTCTTTAAAGGATTCTTTTGTAAAAGAACAATTTAAAGAAGATTTTAATCAACCTCAAAAAGAAATGATATTTGATTCATTAACAAGATCGTTAGTAGCAACACTTTCAGTAAATGGTATGCATGTTAGTATTGCAAAACACCTTAACTTCTTTTTAAAAATTATAATAAAATCATTATTATTTTGGATGCAAAAAGAAGATCTTTTTGAAAAGGAAAATAGGTTTCAATTAATTGCCATTCAATACTCACAAATATCAACACAGTTTAAAACTGAATTAATTAATCTATTTGAACAATTAGCTATTTTTATTAGAAAATCCGTTCAATCTAAAAGATATTCTTATTTAAATTATGTGAATTATATTATAGGTCAATTTTTAAAAGATTTATTGAGATTTTATTCAAGAACAACTACAATGGAAGCATTAGAATCTTATATCAATACTCTTTCATGTTTTTATGAAAAGAAAAGTGCAACATTATTTAATCCTAAAAACAGTAAATATGGTGATGAAGGTGATGAGTCTTGGAAAATTATTCAGTTGTTAAAGATTGATTTTATTAGAGACTTACATCAATTTGTATATTTTTATGAAATTAATGTTCCTACTATTTCACCAATGACATCTTGTGCTAAATTTATTGAAAACATTTTCAATAAACATTATTTTGTTGAATTTACTGTCCAACATTTAACCGACTCAATGGCAAGAGATGATAGTGTTTGTAAATACGCATTGATGGTTTTAGCTGAACAAATCATTAAAATGGATACTTACAGAGGATGGACTGAGGAAGAACGGTCATGTATTGCTGAAATGTATTTCAGTTATGTGAATTATGTTTGTATTGAGTATAAAAGAATGGTGGCTAGATGGCATAGAGCTCAAACAGTAACTACTACTCATTCTCAAGTAGATGACATCAGTACAACAAATTCTTCAGAAGTAGTATTAGAACAATCACCAGAAATTTCAGGTAATTATTTACAAATACTTTATTTGTTATTTTTCTGGGTATTTAAAAATCTATCACATCAAACACTTTCTGATTTAATTAGAAAAACAAATCAGTCTTTACTCAAAACAATATTAACTGTTACTAAAGATGGACTTAATGTTATTGGTTCATTAAAAAATAGTAAAACTTTTCTTATGAACGAATTTGCAGATATGTTTAGAAAGAGTAGAGATGAATTATGTGATGGCAAAGATTTAGGAACTATTCCTTATGTTTATTCTTTAACTAGTTCATGTGATTCATTACTTGGTAATGAAATGATTATTGACAACGTTAATTTGGTTGCATTAGAAATTGTTGACACTATTTTTAAAATGTATTTTACTCGTGATGACCTTCCTGTTGTTTCTATCCTTTTTTATGTATTAGGAAAATCATTATTTAATACGTGTATGACAAATACATATTACCCATTATTCCTTTCTTATATTCGTTTTATTATTAGAGAAAAAACAGAATTTTTATTCCAGAGTAATTCTAGACTTGCTTTTGATATTGTTAATGGACTAATTTGTTTATGTACTAAGAAAATTGCTCCACTAAGACAAGAGGCTATTGCTACTCTCTATTTATTTACAAAAAAAGATTATGAAAGAAATGAAAAATCTACTCGAATTACTCAAATTCATATTATCAGTAGTTTATTTGATCTTCATCTTCATTCAAATGAAACAATTTCTTCTGTTAGTAATGAAGCTTCTGATGGGTTTATTCATAAAGCAATTGAATTATTAGGAAAATGGGCAAAAGAAGATTTTGCTTCAAAGAAACGATTTTCAGTTGACCAGACTCAAGCGATTGAATCTAATAAGATGATTGATTCACAACTAGATACATGGATTAAGTTTAGTGATGAAGAGAAATTAGGACTAATCAACTCTATTCAAAAAGAAATTCAATCAGTTGGTAAAAGAAGATGTGTATTAAGAGGATTAGAATATTTAAAAGAAATCTGGAGTGAAAATAGTAAAGTACTCAAAGAAATTAACAAATTATGTACTGAAGTTATTCCATTAGTTGAACAAGAGGATCAAGGATTTATTCTTGAACGTAAGGCATCAGATTTAGCTTCTGAATGGATGATTAGTATGAGAGATGCAACTGCATTACTTACAAAAGAAGATGTGGATATAGATTCATTAAATAATATGCAAGAGTCATTACAAAAACAAACAACCACATTGATTGATTTAATAAAACAAATTGAAAAGCTTGGAAGTAAATTTGATTTATCTCAAAGAAATTTAATGATTGCAATGCAGATGGTTGTTGATTTAAATAAAATTCGATTAAAAGGATTACAAACAGAATCATCAACAAAAAATTCTACACATGAACAGGCAATGAATTTTATTGAAAAACAAGAAAAAAATAGATTAGAAATTGCTAGTGAATATAAAAAAATCAAAAGTGATGCTGAAACAAAAGGAACATTACTTGAAGTTGCTGAATATACCCTTCAACAATATAGATTAATGCAAGACAACATTGATAGAAGACACCATCAAATGAAGGAAGAAGATCTTAAATGTAATGGAATGCCAGGATGGGAAACTGTTTTTGTTCAATGGGAAACTATTCTTCCAAAGGCTGTTTCATTGTTAAATGAGTTAATTGAAATTCAAACAATATTAGATGGATTAAATAAAAATGAAATTATTCATAAAGAAGATATTTATGCAGAATTTGCAGCATCAGAACAATTAATTAAAATTTGTGCATGGTGTATTGAGGTAAATGAAACTATTCATTTTCCAGTAGAATGTGTTTCAGAATTACCACAAAGAATACTTGTTGCAAATGAATTAATGAAACAATTTACGAGTATTGAAAAAATGATTCAATTTGTTAAAACAGAATATGGAGATGCTGAAAATAAACAACAAAAGAAATATATGTTTGATGAATTATTTAAACAATACGTTGAAAAAGATAATTGGAAGAGTTCATTAGCAAGAAAAATTCAAGAGATGCAAGATATTTATCAAAAAGAAACAGACAGAGAACAAAGAGAAACAGAATACAAAAAATTATTACAAAGAGTCATACAACTAATTCAAATGGGAGATGACTATCAAGAAGATGTATCAAAAATTTGTGAAAGAATTATAGAATTAGAAAAGATAGATTCTAGTGTTGTTGATGTTATAAGTGATGACGATTTTAAAATACTTCAAAAATTAAAAGAGACAAAGAAAGGATATTCTTCCTTACTTAAAGGATTTGGAAAGAAAACTCCAATGGAAAAGAAAGAAGAAAGTTCAAGTGACCAATTTATTTCAGAATTAAAGATTTTAGAAGGACAAACAAATAGTATTTTATGTGAATTACAAAAATTAAACGAGTTAGAAGAAAAGAATTATGGTAATGATGTTGTAATGGAAAAATATTTAAGTATTGCAGATAATTCAATGGAATCACCTTATTTCCATTTAAAATGGTATAACACGATTTATATGAAACAAAAAGAATTAGAAAATTATATGGAAGCTGGAGTTGCTGCTGTTCATGAAATTTATTTTATTTATAAAGCTATTATTGAGCCAAGTGGTATAATTCTTAAAGAAAGTTATTTAAGAGAAATTACTGAAGATTTTCTCCATTATAAAACTTCATCTGTTGGATTGTCATCAACTTTCCTTGATGACAATACTAATTCATTTGTTTCAGCAGTTGACGATGCTATTGAAATGTTTGAGAAAGCTGATCATAGAAAATTTGCAATTGCATTATGTAATTTTATAATTCCTTATTTTGCAAATAATCATGAATACAACGCATTAGCAGAAAAACACAAAATGATTCATAAAATGTATTATGAAATGAGAACGACTATTTCATTACCTTTTTATTTTTATTCAGTAAGGTTCCTTGGTAAAATATTTAGAAGTAGGGATAATGATACTAATGAAATTTTTAGTCTTATTGAATCACAAAAAGCTTTGTCTTCAACAACCCCAAAAATAGTAAATGATAATGAAAGTGTATCAAGTACTGATTCTCGTGAAATAATTTTAGATTGTGATAATGAATATATTTATATGAGTAAACAAAAGTTAGTTGAATTCAAAAAATATTTAGAGACTTTACATAAAACTTCAGGTGCTATTGTTATGTCTGAGGCTGAAGCTGAAAAAGAACAAATTGATCCAAATGGAGATAAACCTGTGATTATATTAAATAATGTTAAATGCTTTGTTGATGGAAGAGTGAGTAATGATTTTGTTAAATGTAATACATTTGTAAATGAAATTGCTAAAGGAAAAGGTGCGGAAGTAGTTAAAACAAGAAGAATTATCACAACGCATAGATATTTCCCATCAGTTATGGAAAGGGAAGCTGTTATTAAGAAAACTGAAATAACATTGTCTCCAGTAGAAACCGGTATTGCAGATGTTGATATGATGATTCAAGGACTTAATAATGATATCTGTAAATTAAAATCAGATAAAAATGCTTCTGTTAGTGGGTTACAACGATTATTAATGGGTATTTTAAGTGCTAATGTAAACGGGGGAATTGGACTATATTTAACATATTTTTTGTCAAAAGAAAATATTCATAAATATAAAGAAAATGAATTAGCAGAATTATTCCTTATCATTGAACGAATTATGGCACTTTCAAAAGAAGGACTAATGATTCATAAAAATAAAATGAAAGTTGAAAATGCACAAATTCAAAACGTTATGGAAGAAGGTTATCTTCAACTTGAAAAATTAACAAAAGAAGTTAGAAAAACTTTAACTGAAGCTGGAATCTTGTGAAAATAACTTAATAAATTTTTAATTGATTTAATGTTCAAATTAAAATTAGTGAACTATCTATGTGTTGATAATTATTATAATATTCAATAACTACAGTAAGTATTAAAGAAGTAATAGCTAATACACATACTATTCCATTTAAAATTTCTTGAGTTAGTATATAATAGCAACCTATTACAATAATAAGAAAGAAAGAATTTAATAGACTTTGAAATTTAAATGGTACTTGAAGGAATAATTGATATAATAAAGTTGATAAAATTCCTAAAACAGTTCCAAGTATTGCTTGTCGAGGAGTATGATATCCAATAATTAATGTATCAAAAAGAGTTCCCCATGAAAATAGAATATAACCAAAGAAAAGCATCATTCCAATTACACTTTGAAATGATTTACTTTTTTGAAATGGATGGAAATTAAATTCAAAAAATTTAGTGGTTTGAATTTGAAAGACTTCTGTTGCAAAAAATATAAAAAATGGATTTTTTAATTCTAGTGAAATAGAATCAACCAAATGAGTTAGTACTTGAAAATAGTAAATGTAAGTAAAATAATGCCCACTAATACCGTTATTTTTACTTTCATTTAATGAACATTTTTTATCATTCATATACATTTTACTAATTATAATTAAAGTATAGAGACTACTAAAAAGTATGTAGGCATTTAAAAATTCAATAATAATAGATATTATTACAATGGTATGTGCTAATTTATTGATTTAATGCAAAGAAAAATTAATTTTTACAAAAATAAAACAAACTTCGAGTAATACGAATAGAACAAACAACCACAATAATAAGTAATAAGATTTTAGATATAATCTGAGGATTTAATAATTGATAAATTCCTGTCCTTTTTAATTGATTAAAATCAGAGTGACATTGTGTAAATCCAGTATCAAGAGAAATGTATGTTGTTAAACAAAAAAGAGGAAAAAGAAAATAAATAAATGTCCAACTTATTTGAAGCATAAAACAACACTTATTTTTAAGTTCTTCTTTTTTTTTTCTTAAATAAAATAATATTAATTAAAATGGACAACTATTAATTTTGTGTTATTAATGTTATTGTAATTTACGTGTTGTTATAACAATAAAGTATATTAAAAATTTTAAAGTAAATACTAAAGATGGTAAAAGTACAATAACTAATTAAAGACAAGATAAACACGAACAACTTTTTTTATTAAAATAAAATTAATGTGTTATCAACAAATTTAACAAAGAATAATTTTTGTAAATCTAATAAAATTCAATGAGCATTTCAAAATTATTTAAAAAATTTCTGATAACTTAATTCTATTACAAATAAATTAAAATTAATGATTAAGAATTTATCATAGTTCTACAAATATCATTAATCATCTTCCTTTGTTTATTTAATAATAACAATTGAAATAAGATCCTTTTATCAATTCAGAATATACAACAAATTTTGATACTATGGCTATTGAGTAATGCCATAGAATCTTGTAAAGAAAATCAATCAACAAACAGGTATTCAAGTTCAAAGAAAAGAAAGAACTTCAATACCAATAAAATGCATAATAATGATAAAAAAATAACAAGAAAAAAGTGAATAGAAAAAGAAGAACACAAAGAAAAACAAATAAGAAAGAAAGTAAATATAATGGTAATAAACATTATACAAATAAGAAATCTAAATTATTAACAAAAAAAGAAATTAAAATGAAAATTAAAAGAATAACAAGAAAATGGGAGGAAGGAAAATAATCAGAAATAAATAAAAAATAAGAAGATAAAGAGAATATATAATATTCTCCAAGAAGTATATTCAATAATAAATAATAAAGTAATACAGAAAATCAAAGAAGAATTCAAAGATAAAACAAAATAAATGAAGAAGATATTAAAACAAATAAAGAATGAATCAAAAAACAAAAAACAAAGAGATGAAATAAAATTACAATAATAATAAATTAAAAATAACATAAATAAAAAACACAAGATAAAGAAGAAGAATATAACAAAGAAGAAATCAACACACTTCAAAATAAAATCAAAGAATTAGAAGAAACTATTAAATAACTTCAAACAAAAAAGATGGAAGAAGAACGAACCATTTCAAATGAAATGATTCAAAAAACACGAGAAACAGTCAGGAAAGAGTTTGAAGAAGAAATAGAAAAGATTCAAACACAAATAAACAATATTCAAACTACATATAATGAAATAAGAAAACTCTAAATTAAAATAATAAAATAATTCATTACAATGAAAAATAAATGAAATAAATGGTAGAAGGAACATAGAAGTAGGAGGTAAGAATGAAATTATTCGAACCCTCCGAGCTAGCTATGAGATGTTGAAGAAGGACATAAGAGATAAATAAAACAAAACACTGAATATCAAAAAAAGTATAATTGAAAACTATGAGATTACAGAAAAACAAGAAAAGAATTAGACAATACACAAGAGAAAATGGAGAAAAAAAATCAAGTAATATCAATTCATCAACAATTTATTGATTATTTTTTATTTCAGAAATAGAGAAGAAGAAAACAATGATATTAATGATAAATACACAACCAATACTGAGAACATCATCATCATGGATAATACAAATGAACAAAACTATCATTATGAAAAATAATATTAGAAATAAAAGAACAAAACACTGAATATCAAAAAAACAAGAAATGATAATCAGTCAAGAAGAGAAGAAAACACAACAAATCAAACAAATAGAATTTTAATTGATATGTTGTATTGATTTGAATTAATTTGTTAAATAAGAAATTAAATAAGAAATTAAGATGAGAACAAATAGAAAACATAATAAAAGTAATAAATAATAATGTAAATATTGAGAAAGAATACATTAATAATATTAAAAAGTCATATAGAATAAAATAAACAACTAAAATATATATTAAAATGAAAATGAACTCAATCATAGAAGGGAAAGTAGAGTGTAATCCAATAATAAAAAATATTATCATAAAAAATAACATTATTGATATTGATAATGAATATCTTAACTCTATCATCAATCAAGTTAAAAAAATGAAAATAAATTAAATCATAATTTAGAATGAAAAATACATAAATTATGATAATATCATCATCACATTAGATGATTTAAATTTAATTATGATGAAAATAAATAACTAGAAATCATCATGTATTGACATTATATATTTATATTAAATGAAGAGAATATCAACATCAAGAGAATATATTCTTAATATATTTAATAAATAGTTAAATTTCAATAAAATCATCAAATTAAATATGGTAAATTGAAGAATAATATTAATTAATAAATGAAGTGATATGAACAATGTTATTAATTAACATCATATCAAATGTATGAATGTAATTATGAAAATATTAATATCATTATTAAAATAGAATATTTCATATAGAATTAATATGAATAATAAATAATTAAAAATTATTAAAAATCAATTATGATATAAATTATAATTTCTTGATGATAAATAATGAATAATTAATAATCATATATTAAATTATCAGAAATAAGATAAATATACAAAATATGTAGATTCATATTATGATATTAATAAATTATAGAATCAATAATATGAATAAGTAATATAAATATTAAAATAATTTAATATAAAATGAATCAACATAAATAATATATAAAATATGATGAATAGAATGAATATAATCATATGACATAAATATAATGAATATAAATGATATACTAAAATGATTAATTTTACATTATGATTCATTATCATCTCTATCATCATCAAAATAAATATAAATTCTCAAATCAATGAATACAAGTTCAATAATATAAATTATATATTATATAATGAAGAAATAAGAATAATTACACAAATAAATTAAATAAATAATAAATAGAATAAAGAAATGAATGAAAATAAAACAAGAAATAAAGAATATTAACCAAATATCATCTTGAAATGTAAATGTCACAATAAATGAAAGAGAAGAATTGTATAGATATTTAAATGTATGATAATCAGATGAAATTAATAATATGTTCAAATATAAAATCATCAAATAAAAGATAGAAAAATCATAAATAAACAAATTATAGATAAATAACAATAATATTAAATATTATTATTTTATTTTCTTCTATTTTCTTGTTTTTATTATTGTTATTTAAAATAATAAAAATAAAATAACATTTATTAAAATAATAAATAAAATGATGTATTATAATGTGTATTTAATTATTTAATCATCTCATTTTAATCTGATATTCATTAAATTAAAATGAAATCAGTGATGAGTAACCAACTAATTAAAGAAGTAGTAGAAACACTTCCAAATATTCAACAATCAATTGATGATACTAATAAACATTATCAATATTATTTAGGTTGTATTAAAAATGAAATATTTGAGAAACAAGATAATGAAACATATGAACAAGCAATTAAAAGAGGAGAAGGAATATTTGATAGAATAGATGAAGTAGTTAGAAGAAGAAGAATAGTAATAGAAAAAGGACAAGAAACAATTAATCAAATGGAAATAATTAAAAATAAAATGAACAAAATAATAGAAAGATGTTATAAAGATGAAGAAGCAGTTAATAAAGCAAAG